TCGGAAGTGCAAGATCTTTACTGTACCGGATGTATGAGATGAGATGTTCCAGAGCCGCCCAATGAGAGGAATCAGGTTTCATCGAGAACCGGGCAAGGAAATGAACAGCAAACGTGATATCAGGCCGAGATCCCTGAGCCAAATACAAAAGACAGCCGATTCGAGAGAGATAGTCTCGATCCAATGATCCATCGGAAAAATTGGAGACAAGATCCGTGGAGGCAATTGGGGTTCTTGCGCAAATGGAAGACTGTTGCAGACCGACAATTTTCTCGACTAACATAGGCTGGTCAATTAAGAATCCGCCAGGAGTCTCTCGAACTCTCAGACCCACTATACTAGACAAACGTTCATCCCACTTCAGATCAAGTACCGTTGACAGGCGAGCCTTCAAAACCTCCAAGAGCTGCGGAGAACTAGCCGTAAAAAGGCCGTCGTCCACATGTATCCAAAGAAAAGTGCGATCTTCGCCTGAACAGTACACGTAAGTTGATTGATCCTCAGCATTCGGGACAAAACCAATCGTATCCAGACGGGACTTTAGATGAAGCCACCAACAACGAGCAGCTTGCCGAGTTCCGTAAAGAGCCTTCCGAAGCTTGAGAACACATCCAGGTTTCACAGAAACACCAGGAGGTGGACAAATGTAAACCTCATGATCAATGTCGCTATGTAGGAAAGCGCTCTTAACATCAAAAGACGCAATGGGCCATTTGTTTTGAGACGCCATTGCCAGAAGGAGTCGGAGGGAGGAGAAAGTCGGTGTTGGAGCAAAAGTCTCATCGAAATTCCGGCCGTGTATTTGTTTGAAGCCCTGAGCCACAATCCGTGCCTTGAACTTTGTGATATCGCCCTCCTGATTTCTCTTCAGAGCAAAAACCCAACGACATGTGAGAATATCCCGACATTCAGACTCTGGAACCTCCTCCCATACGCGGAGTTGAACCATCATTCCTACTTCAGCATCGATAGCCGCGGACCACTGCGCCCGGAGAGTTGAGTTGACGGCCTGCTGATAGGTGTTCGGAGCATCAGAACTGAAAGGAGAAACCGATACTGCAGAGTCCAAACAGGCATCTTGAAGTTCAAGCTCCTGAATTTGACGAAAATCTCCCAGAGAATCCACACGGATGGAGTTTAAAATCGCATTCAAACCGCCGGAGTTCGTCATCTGAGAAGGCAAATCATCCTCGTGGAAAATCACTGATGCCCCTTTTTCCAATTTTTTCGAGACCGGGTCCCACAAGAGCCAGCCATGAGACTCATCCGATATTCCAACGTGAATCAAAGCCGTGGATCGCGGAATGAATTGTTTTTTGTAGTTGATGTCGTGTAAGTACGCTCGACAACCAAATACCCGTACCATGTCAAGAGATGGTCGTTTCTTCAAGGCGATTTCATACGGCGACTTGTCAACACCCGTGTGTACCACCCGATTGAATATGAAACATGCCTGTTTCATCGCCAGAAACCAAAGAGAGTTCGGGAGCTTGGCATGGATGATAAACGTGCGGGCCATGTCCAAAAGAGTGCGGTTAGTCCTTTCAACACTGCCGTTTTGATGATGTTCATACGGGATGCTCAACTCGTGCCGGATGTTATTGTCCTTCAAAAACTTATTGAACTTATTCGAATTGAACTCGCCAGCGTTATCGGATCGAATAGCCTTCACCGAAATAGAAGTGCGTTTGTTGAATTCAAGGATCCAGTCCGTAACCGCTTTCCCGGCCTCAGCCTTGGTCTTGAGTCCAATTACCGACGTCAATCGTGAGAATACATCATGTATTACTAAGCCATACGTGCTCCCATCTAATGCCGCTGGAAAGGGGCCAACCAGATCAATGGCGACCAAATCACCAGGCTCATCAACAACTTCTCTAGACGGAGATTTCACAGGGTCATGGGTGCTTTTGGCTAATGAACATGAATGACATTTCGACTTCTGCAACGGCAATTTTTTTATTGGGATACCAGAGACGCATTGAGTAGCGATAGTGCGATTGAAAAAACGGACGGCAACATGGCCTAATCGAGCATGCCATAACGATGAGGTGTTGAGAGCAGACAAAGAGGGATCACAAGAGTTCAGAGAAGCATTTGAAGAAGAAGAAGGTATGAACCATTGATAATTCTTGATGTAAGTCGGAAAAGAAACGTTATTCTGAGAGAAAACAAAAGAGCCATTGACAAAACCAACGGAGCCGTCCCAACGATCGAAATGAACAACCGAGACTACAGTTCCACAAACCCAAGGAACCAGAAGCACATCCTTTAAATGTAGGTTGCCATACTGAGTGGGGATGATGGCGTTGCCTATGCCGTCTACGGAAATGCGGTCTTGGGAGGCAACGCGCAATTTCACATTAGCGGGGCAAAGATTGATAAAAAAGGAGGTGTGCGACGTTACATGGTTTGTCGCTCCGGTATCACATAGAAGATCATCGGGATTCTCAGGCGTCGCGGTCACAGAGGCCAGTTCGCCAGATTGGAACAGTCGTCCGGACAGAACAGTTGACTTCTTCGGCTTCCAGGCTGGATTAGTCTTGCGCGGATCGTCGAGTGGGGGAAGGTTGTTTTTCACGCGTGGGCAATCTGGGGCCCAGTGACCCCACTCCCAGCATAGATTACACGGAAATTCGGGAGTAAGGTACTGTCGGGCCCAGTTGTCCGGAGGCGGAGTACTTGAACCAGACTGAGGACGAGAGGACTGATTGGGTTGTCGACCAGATCCCCTCGAGTGGCGGTAGTTTCCTCGGCCCCTTCCTCCGCGAGAAAAATTTGAAGTTTGACCGCGAGAGGGCTGAGACGAGACTGACATCGCAGATACAGAGCCAGATGCCGTAGCCGATTGATGAAGTCGGGTCGCCATGTGGAGAAGGTCCTCCGAAGTAACCACTTGGTCCGGCTTGATGGTGATCCGCGCGTCCATCGAATCAGCCATCGCTTGTTGATATCGTTTGACAGTGGAGTGAAAAGACAAAGACAATAACTTATCTGTTGTCCAACCTCCCAATCTCTCCTCTAAGTCATACCAGCTCCGCTTGAGAGCCTCATAGCTGGATGATATCGAATCCGACGCATCTGGGGCCTGTGCGATGTCGGACCAACGATTTAAGAGGAGGGACCAGGAGGTTGCTGCAAAGCGTCCCTTCAACGATCCATAGGCCCCATACGCCGTCAGTCCGTTGAGGGACGAGCGTAGCACCGGGTCAATTGATTGTTGAACCACGGTTAGGACACCGGCCGCCGTCGCTGAGTCCACGGCTGAACGATCCACTTCAAAGTACTTCTCAATGCCCGTGACCCGCTTTACAACATCCAGAAGGGCTGCAGACCATGACGGAAAATTGGAACCGTCCATCGAAAGGTGTGGCGAAAGATCCTTGCCTAGCTGATGCCATTTCAGATGGTCAGAGATGAGAGACTTCAACGACGAGGACGGAGCTTGTTCCGAGTTGATGGTGCCTTGCGTCAAGTTGCGAATCAACAGAACTTTCAAAAGGTTGTCATCGATCCCGGACAAACCTGACTTTTCAAGTTCGGAAGCGATGATTTGGCTTAGCGATCTCGATGGTAACAATTTTTTGTTGTTGTCCTCCACGCTTGCCTTGCCTTTGCCCTGAACGTTCTGATTGGTATCCGTAGAGTCTTGAGAATTTTGAGGGGTGGAAGTCGAAGGAAAAGGAATACGGTTTTGTTTGCTGGAAGGGTTGATTGGTGGGGTATTGGTGTTAGAGTCACCGGTCGAAGTCTGGTGTTCGCCGGTCATGCTGAAAAAAGATTTGTCGGCTGATTGGAAAAAAGACGCCTCGACTGACTGGTCTACAACGGAAGGGTTGTTTGGTCGAGGTGGAGTAACTCTGCTGGCAAAGTTTGGAGTAACAAGCTCGGGGTGTTCAGATCGAGTATTAACCATAAGTTGCCACGGAAGGATGACAACTTGTCACAGAAGGATGACAAAGTTATACGGTGATATATAGAGTTTGTTCCACGGAAGGGTGGAACAAATGACGAGATATAGTTTTATGTTTTCAAAGGAAACCCCGCTGGTAACAGCGCGGGCTCATAACCTGTTAAGCTATGAATCCTAAAAATGAGAATGAAAGTGGAAAACTCCCCCAAGGGGAAAATATATTTCGTAGAGATGAAAACTATATATAGGCCCCAATTATAAACCGATATTTTGAATTTTTGGATTTTCTAATCGAAAACCATTTGAAAACGTAAAAGAAATGAAAAAGAAAAGGGAAAAAAGTTCAAAATTTATCTCAAAACACAGTCAAATACTTCATACAATTATAAACCCTCAATGTTCAAAGGGCTCTCGGGCCTTCAAACACCACCAACCGGTTGTTCTCGGGCACATTGGCCCACCGGTGGGGTTAGGGACATGGAGCAGCTGCAATTTTTCAGGATTGCTTATGTTTTTATTATGTGTTCGCCTTGATGGATGTAGTGCCCCGGTACCATGTTGCGTCGCCAACGGTGTGGAAACCTTGTGCCGATGGGTATCAGGATATGTGAATCCGCAACCAAGCGGGCCAGCACTTGTATTCCCCCAGCCTGTACTTACATTCCTGTATCTTCCTGTATGCATTGCAACCATACAGGGATGTACAGGCGAGAAGTTGGGTATTGTTTGTCCATGCGAGGTTTTTCAGACTCAAACCACCTCCCAAGGAGGTTTGAAAGGGTTTGAGCTCGGTTTTGAGAGGAAAAAGAAATGGTAAAAAAACCAGAAAGAAAGTGCAACATTTTTCGATTTATTTCAAATATATTTGAAAAGGTTGTTTATAATTGGGGCCATAGGTTTGTAAATACATAGTTTGGTTGATGAGAAATAAATGCATAGTAGAGTATAAGATAATAAAATATGGGAAAAACAATGACATGTGAATGAGATAGTATAAATATATAAATAAATCCATACTGTGACACAACACTCGAAACTGCACTTGACCATCAACAACAACATCAACAACATCAACATCAACATCAACATGAACCAAGTACCAGAACCAAAACCATTCTACCATCAACACCACTCATCAAAGAAGAAGAACAAGAACCAGAACCAACAAGAACTCAGTCAAGCCAGACTACCAAACCACCTCACCAGGAAGACAACCATCACCAGCAGAACAAGAGCCAAGCGGAAAAGCACATCATCAACAACCAAACAACAAACACTCTCATTCAAACAACAACATCCTCTAGGCATCAACATCCAAACCCAATGCTCCCCACTAACCTATCAACGCATTCATCCCAAGGAGAAAATTCAACAGCTCAATCGCGCTCATGGCGGATGGATCGAAGACCATATCTCCTCAGACGTATGTTCTTCCCATCAGCACAGCATATTCACCAAATTCTTGAAAAAAAACTGAGCTGTATTCTCATCCAAATTATCAAAAGCACGCTAATCCGGTCGAGAATAATCTGTCCTCACCAACCTACTGCAACACTTCACCCACACCAGGTAAGACTCTCTTTCATCAGATTGTCATCTGACTTACTTACAACTAAAAATATCTACTCCAGAAGCCTCCACGTCGTTCATGGACGAATACCCGATGGAGGAGCTCTCAGAGACTGAGGATGAGGATACAGCCAGCCATCATCCCGGCCAGTCGCGGGCACCATCCAGACATGAGCGGAAACCAGAGAAGGTGATCTTATGTCCGGAGTCATTGGACCGCCAGAAGTATCCCTCGAGGAGCCAAGAGGACAGCCATCCCGACATCCGTGCCGGACACAAGCGACTCCAGAAGGCGGTGGCCAGCCAGGATGGGCCGGTCGCGCAGGCCCAGGAATCGTTCTCGTCCGAAAGCCAGACCGACCAGCGCTCGCACTCCTGTGCCCTCTTCTTCTTCCAAGATCACGATCAACCTAACTCTCCCGTCGAACAGAGCCAAGAAGATCACGAAAAACGACGGCAAAATCAAGTCGGATCTCCCACTGCACACATCTTGTGTCCCGACTCACTCGACAACCAACTCCTTGCCCCTGAAAGCCTGCCGCTGATCAACAACCAAGAAGAAGAATCCTACTTGGCCCCCAGTCTACCGGACAACGACCGCACTCAATCCTGTGCCCTGTTCTACGACCACTTGTACCCGCCCGACGAGGCTGATCATGAGCCCCTTACTACTCGAGAAGAAGAACTCACACGAAACACTAGGATCGACCCCAAGAATCCGCCTGAGATCTTGTGTCCCAGTTCCCTCCAAAGTCAACTTCCCCGTTCGCACAACATCGCACCCCAGCCCATGGACCGCCAACTCTCCCCTCACCCTGAAACCCTTCCTACCGTCTTCCCCGAATCGCTCCTCTTGGAGACCCAAGATCGCTCCTTCTCTTGTGCACTCTTCTTCCACGAGGATGAGATCGAGGAAACATGTCTAGATCATAATCAGAATAGTGAAACTCGCGGATCTCAAGGTCATTACTTTTTTTTTTCTTGCTCTTTTCCTTGTCTATTCTAAGTCTAGGGTTTGCACCATACACGATACTAATTCTTTTTTTTTTCGGTTTCCAATAAACATACATATACATAGATACCAAAGAAGCTGGAAAGAAGAGGATTGTGTTAGCTGAAGAGTCGCAAGAACTCTTACCGGGTCCTCCTACTTTAGGACGCGTTCAAAATAACCATTCAAACATCACATCGAGAGACAGCGAAGAAAGGGGGAAGGAGAAGATCGTGTTAGCCGAAGAGTCGCAAGAGATGTCGCCGGGCCCGTCTGTTTCAGGACACCGATCACTAGCCCCTCCGACGCCGATCTCGGCGCGACGCGCCACCCGGCCTTCGTTCTCCGCCTTCTCCGCTTCCGGCTTCGTCCCTTCCTCCTCCTCCTCATCATCATTGACCAGAAATCCTAAGCGCAAATCACCCAATCCTCCTTCCTCGACCTCTGTGGCCACTGATGGCTCTCAAAAGAAGAAGAAGAAGAAGGGGAAAAAGAGCATCGATCCGTTCGACAGTCACGTCAGACCCGCTTGGACGGCTAATGAGCAGGACAAAGTGCCCAAGCTTCATCCGCCCACTCTCCGACAAATCGGCCTGGCCGAGTTCCTCGTCCCCTTAACCCCATCCGTCAACAACAACAACAACAAGAATAATAATAATAGTAACGCTGGTGGGATTAAGGAGAACTCTCAGAAAGATCGGGCTCCTGTCTCCCGCCCTCTCCCGCTTGAATTCACTCGCTTCATTAACGTCGCGCGTGCCTCGAATCGTCATCAATGTGGTTCTGAGAAGTCTCAGATCGGGAAGGGAAAAGAGAAAGCGACGGTCGAGGTTGAAGAGGACGAGATCATCGGCTCAGACGACGAAATCAACTTTGATCACAAGAACGCGGACAAGAGCAACAACAAGGAGGAGGAGGAGGAGGAAGACAGTAGTAGTCGTAGTAGTAGTCCGTCGGTCCATATGATCCCCGACTCCCAACCGACTTCTGTTCTTGTTCCTTCTTCTCCACCATTGCCGAGTGCTGCTCTCGACAGTGATCATACCATCAACAGAGAAGACATAGATGAAGAAGACGAGCGCGGGAGGGCGCAGGTGGTCATGGGCTTTCGCGAACGGATCAGGCTGGCGCGTGAGAGGGAAGACTTGTGTCGATGGGCGTTGGACGGACAGGCTGATCGGCCATCGCAGCTCCATCATCCTCTGCATCACGGGCTTCATCTGGGCAGTGCGTCTGATCGGAGTTCCGGAGACCTTCGTCCACGAAACCAGCTCGATCCCAAGGGGAATCCGAACCAGGAGCCGGCTCGTCACAAGAGTCCAGACCAAGAAGCCCAGCCCGATCATCCTAAGCACCCCCTCGAATCCGGGCCGACCGGTCCCTCTTCTGGACTGGATCCGGACCAGATGTGTGGACGACTCGATGTCCCGGATCAGGGCAGACTGATGACGACTGGGACCGGATGCAGTCTGTCAGTGTCGGCTCCTTCCTTCGACCCCGATCTCCTATCTGTTCATCCTCCTCCTCGTCATCTGACTCCGTCTTCGTCTTCTTCATCAGCCCCGGCCACGTCTCTGCTGATGATCGGCCCGGATAAACCCGCGGTGGCCGCTCATGCTCCGGCTGGTCATCCCACTGTCCCCGATAACATCCACAGATTCGTCGACGTCGACCGGTTGCTCGATTTGTTGGTCAAGCCTCTTCCTCCTCCTTCTTCTTCTTTGACGGGCCCGTCCACGCCTCTTCTTCTTCCTCATCATCCACTCGGCGGGCCGTCCGGCGCCGAACATCAAGCCCCTCCTCCTCCGTCGTCGTCGTCGGTCGAGGTCCTTAAACTTGAGCCTTCTGAGCTCGACTTGGACCGCTTCGTGGCCCGCTACAAACTCCATCTTCGTGACTCTCTCCTCCCCAATTATCATCCCACATCCTCAACAACGATGACCACGGGGACCGCAGGAAATCAGGCCGGTCTCGACCTTGCCTTGGTCTTCGCTAATCTCCAATCGGTCGATCCCCATCAGACGCCCCTCTTTCATACCGATTCCTTGCAGATCTTGTCTGCTAAACTCTTGAGTCTTCTCTGATCTATTCCTCTCTTTCTCTCCCCTCTTCCCTATCTTGTTTTCCTCTCTCTCTCTCTCTCTCTCTCTCCCCTTTCTTTGCTTTGTTGTTGTTTGGTTCATGTTTTTTTTTTCGAGGAGCAGGGGGGGGGGGTTGTATTTATGTACCTAATAGGACATTTTTTCCTTTGTTTTTTGGGGGTGTTGGAGTAGTAGTGAGACGGAGATTTGATATATCTGCGCTTTAAAAGGTGCGGCAACGATGGGCCACATTGTGTGATAAACTGCCCACTAACGTTAGTGTTATTAGTGTTAGTGTTAGCGGGGCTTGAAACAGTGTGTCAGACCTCATGTAGTGTTGGTGTGCTGTTAGTGATGCTATGTTATGCTGCGCTTCTACATAGTGGCAAAAAAGGCCCAATAACTGCTGGAATAAGATGTAGTGCAGCATAGTGGGCCCTTTTTTGGGGCCTGCTAGTGCAGATTTGGGTATCTGCACTAACAGTTATGGTATTCAAAGTTGAAATGCATGAAATCATAGAGTGCATAAATCATATAATCATAAAACATTTTGGCTGGGAAAGCCAAAGCTTACATAATCAGATTACCAAGATCCCCTGCAAACAAGGTTTTATGATCTTATGATTTATGCGGTTATGATTTCATGCATTTCAACTTTGAATACCATAAGTATGCAGCTAAAAACGTAGTGTGTTTTTTGATAGGCTAGGATAGACTAATGCTGCTACAGTTAGTGTGGCTGGCCCAGCGTTGGTTGTGGGGATGTGTCAACTGGCAAGAGTACTTGGGACCCCGGTATCAACACTCTTCATGACTGTTGTGAGGATTCATATAGAATATCACGCAAGAATACGATACAAATGTTCCATAAGTAACTCCCAAGATTGTTGAAATCCTTTTGTGATCCATCCGTGAAATCTCATCTCTCCCAGAAATCCGCAGCTCAACCCTAATCAATCTCATCTCACTAAACCTAATTATCCTACCTTCATGTCCCTCTTGTCCGTCATCCACTTCCACGTCATCCACTTCCACGTCAATGCTCCACATTCCTTTTCCTTCCTGAATCATACCTTCATCCTCTTCCTGAACCGATCCTCTCACACTTCAACTGTCTCCCAATCAACTCAACTGTCTACGACTCTATTATCCTCAACTCTGAATCACCTCTCATCTGTGTCGATCTTCGACTCCCAACTCTCAAATCCGTCAACTTCATCAACATCAATTGGATCACTTCTAGTATCCACTTTGGTGAGAAAATAACCTCAACAACCTACCTCAACAGTCAAATCAACTAACTCCATCTTTTTCTTTAGTCTTGTGTCTTGTTATCTCCTCTATATTGTCTTCTTATATTCAGTTGTTCTTTCTTAAGATTACTCTTCTGTTGTGGTAAATCATTTCACACTTTTTCATTTCATTTCTTTTTGTTTTATCATTCAATTCTCTCTTTCTAACCTCTTTTGTTCTCCAGTCTGGTTTGGTTTTTTAGCAATAAAATTCTCAAGTTTTCACACGATTAACAGTCGAAAACGCTACTCTGCTTATGTCGGAAACCATCAATCCTAAAACCTCCTCGACCACCAACCAGACATCAACCTCCTTAACAACTGACATCAAATCCTCGAACTCTACGATGGATAAATTAAACTCAATGATTCTGAAGACGTGTGAGCCTGGGTCTCAATAGTGACAGCAGGACACAAGGTTTGGGGGGCACTTTTAAATGTATTTCTCAAGAGAAGGGAAATACAAGTAAAAGTAGAAGAGAAAGAGATAAGAGAAAGAGAAGAAATGAATAATCTTTTTGTTGTTTGTTTGTTTTGTGATGATTATTAAGATTCTGACAGTCTTATTTCCTCAGAGGGTAGCTGTTATAAGCGGAGTTAACTCTACGCCTCCAAATCAAAGGAAACTGAAATGGGTACTTGACTCTGATAAATCAGGTCAACCACAATTTTTTAGATCAGGGATGATCAAGGTTCTTTAAAGGGAAACCTATGTAGTTTTCAGTTTTACTACCAAACAAGAAAAAGGAGGAGAATCTTTGAAGCTTATGGAGCTTTGGTTGATCAGGGCTTTTGGTTTAGAGAAGTTAGAGAAAAAGGTGAGAGTGACAGAGAAAGAAAACAAGCAGGAAGATGCTAGCTGGACTTAAAGAAGTAACTTACTGATGACACCAATGACACTGAGTAGTGGGAAAGGCAGGAAAAGTAAGGTTCTTCTGGTTGATAAGTGTAGGCTGGATCTGGTACTGGTTGTTGTTGTTTCTGGGTGGTCTGGAGTCTGAAAATCCTCTGGAAGCGGAATCAACAAGCTCAGAGAGGATTTTCAAAGTTGGATGACATAATCATTACATGTACATGTGGTTGGGAGAGATGGAATTCCAATTTGGTTGGTATTTCACAAGGTGTGTTGAAATGTTACAAAGTCAATGAAGGAGAAGAGTAGTGTAAAACTGGTCAGTGGTTACCATGGTTGAAATTGAATGAGGAATTCATTTCTGAAGTCAAAATGTAATAAAATCTTAAGCTGAATAAGTTACAGTAGGAACATGAATGAAAGGGGGGACTTAGGCAGTCTTTTGGCCAGCTTGGCTGGCTCTAAGGCTGACAAGACGGCTATCGAAGCCATTCCGTTACTTACACAAGACAACTTCTCTATGTGGAAAAATCGAGTCGTCAACTTCCTCGAACTGCAAAAAGTGAAAGATCACGTCATTGCTGGCAAGGGCACTCTCTCCAACGATGAAGAACTTCAAGTCAGAACTATCCTAATGTCCAAGCTCGATCCTGCTGTTCACTCCAACGTTATCAACCACGAGAACGCCACTGACGCCGTTAAGATCTGGAACTCTATCGTTGATCATTTTGCATCCACTCAAGCTGCCAACAGAGCGCAAGTTTGGAACAACTTCTCTCTCCTTCCATATGACGACTCCGATATCAAAGGCTTTATTACTCGAATCAAATCCGCCATTGCAAAAATGCATGAAGTCGGTATTCAAATCGACTCCGATGTCGTCGGGTACGAGATCCTGAAGAAACTCCCTAAGACCACGGAGCTAAACGGTCTGTCCACCGCCGTTACACATTCAGGACTCGATATGACCCCCGATCTTGTGTTAGATCATCTAAGAGTGCATGGCAATAACAAGAAGCTCTCGGCACCTTCGGTTCCCACTCAAGTCACCCTCTTTACCGATGCATCCAGGAAATGTAAACCCAATGCTCACAATACCTTGGCGAATCACCCTCAGTCGAGATGTTACAAGTTGTATCCACATCTTATTCCTCCTAGGAACCAAGGCAATCGTTTGGAAACCACTGTTAGCAGTTTTCACTCATCCTTGTCATCTCCTTCCCCCTTCTTCATTCTCGATTCGGGATCATCCGCTCACATGACCTCCGATCTCAATCTGTTTGTTCAACTCACTCTAAAAGACGACGGAATAGTTAGAACGAGCTCCGGATTGGAATCTCTAAAAATAAAGGGGAACGGCACCATCAAATTGGTTAACGACTATGGTGAATTCTTGCTCGACAACGTCCTTTTTGTACCCGACATTGTTGTAAATCTCCTCTCTGTCCGATGTCTTGTCCTTAATGACTTCGATATTCAATTCAATAAAAATGAATTTTCCATTCTCAAGAACAATCAACTTGCTATGAAAGGAAGATACATCGGTAATCTTCCAACTCTTGAGTTTGTCAATCATCGATCTCTTCTGTCTGCCAGTGAGCATCTTCATAAGTCTCTGGGACATGTGAGCTATCATCGACTTCGGCATAAACTCGGAATACCGGTTAAAGCAGCGACTTCCTGTGACGCTTGTGCTGTGTCAAAAATAACTAAAGCTTCCTTTCACGAGCGAAGATCCACTGTCCCCAGACCCTTTGAAGAGATACACTTAGACCTGCTCGGTCCCATAAGTCCATCTTCCAGAGAAGGTCATTGCTATTTCATGACTGTAGTCGATGCGCACTCCAGATTCTGCTCTGCCATACCACTGAAAAAGAAAAGCAATGCTGCAAATCTCTTAATTCAAGCCATAGAACTGGAAGGAAAGAGAATAGGCTACCTTCCGACAGTGATACACTCCGATAGAGGATCCGAATTCATTAACAGTCAGCTTTTGGACTTCTGCAATGCTCATGCCATAAGAGCTCGTCATTCCGATGCCTATACACCTCAACAGAATGGCCTCGCGGAACGTTTCAATCGTACAATTCTGGAATTGATGCGGGCTGTCTTCAAGGACTCCGGTCTGAGGAAAGACCTGTGGAATGAAGTAGTGAAGGCCAGCACTCTGGTTCTTAATCAAATCCCTACACATCAATCGAAAAAGTCTCCTTTTGAGATCTTCAAGAATCGAGACTTGCCCCTAAACTACTTCAAGCCCCTAGGAATCAAATTGTCTTACCTCATTGAACCCAAAAAAAGTGGTTCAAAGCTCTTTCCCAAAGGAGAACTAGGGAAATTGGTCGGTTACAATGACGAACTGCGTTCTTACCGTATTCTCTCCGACAACGGAAAGCTGGTAGAGACCAAGAGCGTGCAATTCTTGGACTACTCTCCTTCTCATGATCAATCCGACAATCTCAATGACATCATTATTCTTGATGAAGACCCCGACCTCTCTGTCCTTGCTGATGAGAAGGAACCTGTTGAACTCTCTGATACCCCTAATCCTAACGTTGATCTCTCAGACTCTATATCCATTGCATCCTCTGAACAAGGTGATTCTTCCTCTGACAACAATGACGTGGTGGAATCCTCACTGCTCCCTCAAACTCGAATATTGCGTGATCGAACAGAGAAAGTCAAGCCTGCTAAATACTCCTATCTGACAGGTGATCCTACTTCGTTCAAAATGGCTATGAAATCCGATAATCATGCTGAATGGGAGAAAGCTGCCGACGAAGAACTCAACAACATAGAAGGTCATGACGTCTGGGACGACTACTTCGATCAACCTTTGTCATTCCTAAGGACTCTGT